TGTTCTTTAAGGTATATATAGGCTAAGCCCATAGGTAATAAATTAATATTATCAGGTCCAATCTATCAAAGACTCAACTCAATTAGGTAAGTCCATCAACTTTCCAATCTTAAAGACTTTCGGTCTATTAAAACTTCCATAGCATATGTGATAGATACCGGGAGAATTTCACACAGAGTTGTAATTTACACTATGTTTGAATTTTATGATCCATAATAGTGTGCAAGTTTAATCTATTTTTTTTTCTATAACCACAATATTTCCAACAATTTCAAAGTTTTGGAAAAAATCAACAAATTCGCCGGTCATATTATTACATAGAAGGAGTCCAATATGATAATGTTCAAACCGAAAACCGAACCGAAATTAGAAAAATCGAACTGAACCGAACTTATTTCAGTTCGGTTTTGGTTACTACTTTTACAAAACCGAAAACCGAATAACCGAACCGAATTTCTTCAAACCGAACCGAACCGACCGAATGCCCACCCCTAGGCCATACGTAAATGCCTTAGTTCTTTTTTGGTTTTCCCTTGTGTTTTTCTTTTTTGTTTATTTTCAGGCCGTTTTGTCGTGCCTTTGTAAATATTTTTTGAAATATATAAAATTTTCCCTTAGGAAATATCATATCTTTACTTGTCAGCATCTCTTTGCTATTTTCTTAATTGTGTATCGTTCTTAATGCTTTAGCATAGAATCAAACGTAATATAGAGTATCCATTTTCGGAGGTCTGAATGAGGCCCAATTTCTATGGCAGTTCCGGATTACTCATGGCTTTGAGATTTCGATCAAATCGAAGGTCTTTAAGATGCTTAAGTGTCTTAGACGGTGTTTTTGCCGATTGTAACCTTTTAATAGGTTTTGATTATACCTAAGGGACTTACTTTCTAAGTACGTACTGCAGACCTCTCCGAGCTGTCTTTAGGGTGGCTGTAGCCTTTCGTATTCGGGCACTGCCTAATAGGCTTGGTACCTCTGGGATTTGATAGCCCGGGCAGTTCAAATTTTTTATTGGATGACAGTCCCCAAGTAGGGGTAGCCCATGAGCTTTAGGATCTAGGAACGAAGAAGCGAAATGTGTAGTAATAACGTATAAGGGAAGCAGAGATTTCTTTAATTGTTTAATATGTAGGGTACATGATCTGAGGCGCATAGACCTTGTGCCTTGGCTAGAGTGGGCCACATGGGTGCGGTTCATATGACCGTTTGACCCTTACAAATGAATCCTAATCACCAAGCCTTGGCTTTTGACATGTAAAATTTTCCCTTTCTAAGGATCCTAACCTAGGGGTAATGGCCCCCATTATTTGAGGCCGAACTTATGAGGGCTCGGATACTGTTGATTCGGTGCAAATGATCATCAATTCTGATTTAAGGTCGGACTTCAAAATTAAGGTAGCACGTTTTACTGTTGCCTTATTAAAAACCTTGACGAAAAACCCGCTTCGGGATAAAATCGGTTTAAGGGAAAAAGAGTACAACACGTGCTTTCAGACCTAATAACCACATTCACCCCTGACCGAGTACCTGCATACGTTAGTCCGTAATATAACTAAATTAAAAAGGAATTAAGTTCATACATTACCAGTAGTACCGCTTCAAGTGTGCCACATTCCAGTTGTTCGGCAGTTGTACACCGTTTTCTGATTCGAGTTTATACGAGCCTTTGCCGGTTATTCCGACGACTTGATACGGTCCTTCCCAATTCGCGCCCAGTTTCCCTTCGTTTGGGTTCCTGGTGTGTAGTGTTACCTTTCTCAATACCAAGTCCCCGACTTGAAAATGTCGGAGGTTCTTCATTTGTATTACCTCTCTACTCGTTGCTTCTGTGCGGCCAACTAGACCAGGGAGGCTTCCTGTCTTTCATCCAATAATTCCAAGCTCGTGGTCATGGCCTCGCCGTTTGATTCTTCGGTAGCATATTGGAACCTGAGGCTCGGATCCCCTACCTCAACTGGTATTAAGGCTTCCGCTCCGTAGACCACAGAGAACGGGGTCGCCCCAATACTCTACTTCGAAGTCGTACGGTATGCCCACATGACTTCGGGAAAGATTTCCTTCCACTTTCCTTTCGAACTGGTCAACCTCTTTTTCAGGTTTGGAGTATAGTTTTGTTCGTTGATTCCTCATGCCCATTCCCACTAGGGTGTTAAGGCATCGATAATATCTTCTTGATCTCGTGGTGTTCAAAAAACTTACTTACCTTGCTACCGATGAATAGTTTTCCGTTGTCGCAAACAATCTCGCCCGAAATCCCAAATTGACTGATTATGTGATCCTAGATAAATTCAATGACTTCTTTCTCTCGGACCTTCTCGAATGTCTGAGCCTCGACCCATTTGGAAAAATAATGATCATGAATAATATGTATTGGACTTTACCAGGCGCCCATGGCATGTGACCGACGATGTCCATTCCCTATTTCATAAACGCCCATGGTGACAGGACAGGGTGAAGCATCTCTCCCGATTGATGAGTCATCGGGGCGTGTCTTTGGCACTTGTTGCATTTTTGCACGAAGTTTTTTGCATCATTCTCCATTTCATTCCAGTAGTAGCCGGCTCTGATTAGCTTCCGAACTAAGGATTCTGCCCCCGAATGGTTCCCACAAGTTCCCTTATGAACTTCTTTCATGTCGTATTCGGTCTCTCTCGGTTCTAAGCATCTGGCCAGTGGGCCGAATAAGGATCTCCTGAACAATGCCCTTTCGACTAAGCTAAATCTAGCATCTTTGGTGTGCAGGGCTCTCGATTCCTTGGGATCCGAAGGCAATTTTCCTATCTTCAAGTAGTCTATGTATTTGTTTCTCCAATCCCAAGTCAAACTTGTCGAGTTTACTTCGGCGTGACCTTCTTCTACCACTGAGTTCATCAGTTGTACCACTGCCTCCGAGCTGAATTCATCGGAGTCGACAGACGACCCCAAGTTGTCCAGTGCATCGTCCTCACTGTTTTGATCTCGGGGTACATGCTATAGATTCCATTCCTTGAATTGGTGCAGGGTCACCTGCAATTTGTCCAAGTACCTTCGCATTTGTTCTTCTTTTACTTCGAATGTTCCGTTGACTTGATTTATGACGAGGAGAGAGTCGCATCTGGCTTCAATTACTTCAGCCCAAAGGCTCTTAGCCAGTTTTAGACCTGCAATCATGGCCTCATACTCGGCTTCAATGTTAGTCAAATTTACAGTTCTAAGTTCTAACAGACTGCCTAATTACGCTTCCCGCATGTGGTTTTAACACGATACCGAGCCTGGACCCCTTTGCGTTGGAGATACCATCCGTGAATAGCGTCCAGATTCCCGAATTAGCTCCCGAGGTGAGCAGAAATTCCTTTTCGACTTCGGGTATTAAGGCCGGCGTAAAGTCGGCCACGAAGCCCGCCAAAATTTGAAATTTTATGGCAGTTCGGGGTCAGTACTCGATATTGTACCCGCTAATCTCCACGGCTCATTTGGCCAGCCGGCCCGAGAGATCGAGCTTATGCATGATATTCCTCAGCGGGTAAGAGGTTACAACACATATAGGGTGGCATTGAAAGTATGGTTTTAGCTTTCTGGAAGAGCTTCTCAAGGCGAGCGCAAACTTTTCTAGGTGAGGATACCTTATTTCGACATCTCCTAGGGTTCTACTAACATAGTAAATAGGAAATTTGCGTAGCTTTTTCCTCTCGGACCAAGACACCACTTACCGCCACCTCGGAAACCGCCAAGTAGAGGAACAAATGTTTGTCTGCCTTCGGAGTGTGCAGCAAAGGGGGGCTCCATAGGTATCGTTTGAGTTCTTCCAAAGCTTGCTGTCATTTTGGAGTCCAGGAGAAATTCTTCTTCTTTTTCAATAGTGAGAAGAACCGATGGCTCTTGTCCGATGACCTCGAGATGAATCGGCCCAGTGCGGCTATACGCCCGGTCAGTCTTTGAATCGCCTTGATATTGTCCACTACGGTGATGTCCTCTATGGACTTTATTTTGTCGGGGTTGATCTCTATCCCCCCGTTAGATACCATAAACCCGAGGAATTTGCCCGAACCGATCCCAAATGCACACTTCTCCGGGTTTAGCTTCATGTTGTATTTCCTTAGTATGTCGAAGGTTTCCTGCAAATGTTTCAAATGGTTCTCTGCTCGCAGAGATTTGACCAACATATCGTCAATATAAAATTCCAATGATTTCCCTATTTGTTCTTCAAATATACGATTTACTAGGCGTTGGTAGGTGGCACCGACGTTCTTTAATCCAAACGGCATTACGTTATAGCAGTAGGTGCCGAATTTTGTTTTGAAAGAAGTCTTTTCTTGATCGTCCGGGTCCATCCAAATTTGGTTGTACTCAGAGTGGGCGTCAAGAAAACTGAGTATCTCGTGCCCGGCCGTCGCGTAATCATTCGATCGATGCTAGGCAAAAGGAAAGAACCCTTTGGGCATGCCTTATTTGAATCTTTATAATCCACACACATCCTTAGTTTATTTCCTTTTCAGGTACTACCACTATGTTAGCTAACCAATCCGGGTATTTAGCTTCCCGGATGGATCTTATTATTAGAAGTTTGGATACCTCATCCTCGATGACCGCGTGTCTTATCTTGGACTGTAGCCTTCTTTTCTGCTTAACTGGATGGAACTTCGGGTCCAAACTCATTTTGTAAGTGGTTACCTCTGGTGGGATCCCTGTCATGTCAAGACAGGACCAAGCGAAACATTCGGCGTTAGCTTAAAGAAAATCAATAAGTTTTTTCCTAAGCTCAGGGGTTAACCCCGTGCCTAGGTATACCTTTCGATCCGGTATATGCTCGATTAATATAACTTGCTCAAACTCTTCAACCGTTGATTTAGTGGCGCCGGTGTCATCGGAGCTATGAATGATCTCAAGACGCTGTAATCGTCCTCTCCTTGTTCTTCCTGCTTCTCCGGTTCGGCTGAGGGCGGTATTAGTGATCGCCATTTAATCTCTTCTTTTTTGGTCGGTTCCGTGCTACTCGATATTGAAACAGTAGGCAGTGGGATCACTTCGCCATCAACAAACATTTCCCTTGCGGCCGGCTATTCTCCATAGACCTTTTTGATTCCCTTCGGGATATGGGAAACTTTAGCGCCTGATGCAAAGTCAAAGGTACCGCCCTCATGTTGTGGACCCATGGCCTTCCAAATAGAGCGTTGTACCTCATATACCCTTCGATCACATAGAACTTTATTTTTTGGATTGTCCCCGTAGTGTTTACCGGCAAAGTTATCTCTCCTTTCGTGGTCTCACACGCCATGTTGAATTCATTAAATACCCGGACTGCCGGTACGATTTGATCCTGTAACCCCAATTGCTCTATGACCCTTGATCTGATGATGTTGGCCGAGCTACATGGATCAATCAGCAAACGTTTAATCCGCGATTTATTGATAAGTACAGATATTGCTAGTGCGTCGTTGTGAGGCTGTACGATGCCCTCAGCATCTTCGTCGTTGAACGAAATGGCTCCCTCCGGAACGTAATCCCGGACGTGTTTTTCCCTCGTAATAGATACTTTAGTGCGTTTTATCATTGGCCCTTGGGGAACTTCGACCCCCCCCCCCCCCAATGATCATGTTGATCACGTGCTGAGGCTCCTCTTGTTCAGCCTTTTTTTTGGTGTATCTATTTCTGAAGTAGTTTTTGGCTCGTTCACTTAGGAATTCTCAGAGGTTCCCATTATTGAATAGTTGAGCAACTTCTTCTCTTAGTTATCAACAATCTTTGGTCATATGATCGTGAGTGCCGTGATAGTTACACATCAAGTTAGGATCTCTCTGGGCTGGGTCGGACTGCAATTATCGGGGCCACTTGGTCTCTTTGATGCGCCCTATGGCCGACATGATAGTTGCAGCGTCTACGTTGAAATTATATTTCGATAATCTTGGTACATCCTTACTCCCGAGCGACCCGCCGAAACCATTCTTGCTCATCAAGCCCCGGCCACTAGGCCCCTGATCGCTTCTCTTCTTGTTCCTTGCTGGGTGACGTCGGGATCCATTTCCCCTTCGATCCGCGATATATGGTTGATATCGATCTCGGACCGGTCTTGGCTCTTGATCAATGGCTCTCTTAGATCTATCATCGGTCCTGATAGGGTAAATAGATCCAGAAGGGGCCCCGAGTTGGTCGTCCTCAACCCTGATCTTCGACTGGTACCTGTTGTGGACGTCGGCCCAGGTTACCACCGGGTACTCCACCAAATTTTGTTTTAGCTGTTGAGAGGCCACAGAACTTCGGGGGTTGATCCCTTGAGTAAATGCCTAAACGGCCCAATCATATGAACCTGGTGGTAGGTCCATCCATTCCATCTGGAATCTTGACACGAACTCCCTGAGCATCTCGTTATCCTTTTGTTTGACCTTGAAAAGATTTGACTTTCTGGTCTCGACCTTGATAGTCCCGGCATGGATCTTTACGAAAGCATCTATAAGCATAGCAAACGAGTCAATAAAATTAGGAGTCAAGTTGTGATACCATATCATCGCTCCCTTGGACAAAGTTTCCCCAAACTTTTTCAGCAACACGGACTCGATCTCATCATCTTCCAAATCGTTCCCTTTGATCGCGAATGTATAGGAGGTCACATGCTCATTTGGATCTATGGACCCATTATATATGAGAATGTCGGGCATACGAAACCTCGTTGTGCTCGGCTTTGGTGCCACGCTCGGAGGAAAGGGTTTCTAGATCATTTTTTTGGAGTCCGGTCCCTTCAATATCGGGGGTGCTCCCGTGATCTGATCGACCCTGAATTTGTATGTTTCCACCTTCTTGTCATTGGCCTCAATCTTTTTCTCTCCCTACTCCACCCGTTTTGTCAACGCTTCGAGCATCTTCATCACCTCTGAAGTTACCCCGGGCTCGGCTTCACCTGGTCTCTAGGTAATTTGTTCGTTTCTTCGAGTGCTTTCCCGAGATTGTTCAGGCTTGATCCTGTTGGGGGTGTGGCTTTGATTCTGCAGCTGTGTTATTGCCGCTTGTTGAGCCTTCAACATTTCAAAAATCAGTCGTAGGCTCACCGCATAACCTTCACCTTTGGGCTTCTCGAGCTGTTGGTTGGGGTCCCCCGCGAACAATATTTTCGGGATCAGTTTGTAAGTTGATGTTGATGGCCACATGCGAGTTAGCATCGATCGGGTCGGCGGTTGGGACACCCTTGGGATAGATAGGAAGCACATCATTATCGGGCACCACATTATTATTTTCGCCGTGATGGCCTGACTCAACATCAACGTTCAAGTGAGCCGACTGAGAGTTTGACATTTTTAGGCTGACCTGGAATTAAGATTTCAAAGAACAAGCGTAAAATAGGATATGTTATGGAGATTCATACCAAATCACCACTATTATCCTTAGCCACTCGGAGGGCGCCAAATTATTTACCCAAAATTGGGTAACAATTAAATTTGTATGCTGTTTAATTCAACACGAGTAATTAATAATAGCAGATAAATGAATTAAAGACGAAATAAACGATCAAACCAATTGCAGTGTTATGACCAAGCCTGATCTTAGATTGAACAGTGAGCTCGTCCTCGATTGCACCCTCGGGTTCAAGCCTAGTCGTGAATGAAGAAAAGAACAAGTGAGTAATGCCTTTTACGGTAGCTAGAAGACAAAAGTAAACTTTTATTGCTTTGAATTGCGTGTTACAATGTGTTAGACTAAAGAAAAACTTCCCCTTTATATAGTAGGAGAATTTCAGTCCTAGTATAAATCTAAAAAAAGGTAAAAATCTTCTTTTCCCGGTAATTGTTGATCCATAATCAATATCGAGCGAGATTTGCTCCGTGATATTCGGTTGAGGGCGAGTATCACGGCCCCCTATCCGTCACGCATAACCGTTCATCGTGTCTCCCGAGGTCTAGAGCTTATACTCGTTCCCGGGTGCGTCGCTTTACCATGTCTGATGTCGGATATATCATTCATTCTTCCTGGATCTCGATATGAAGGGTTTCTGGCCTCGATTACAATTATGCGGATCTGTGCTCCCCTTTCATTCTCTCATCGAAAATCTGGGTAGACATTGGCCCCGATTTTACCCTTACACACTTATTTGTTGTTAACTAGAACGAGAATTAAATGGTCCTAAAATTTTATATGGTTCATTCTTCTTAACAGGATTTAAGGGTCATGCAACTCATATGATGTTCGGCAATTTAGTTTTGTTAATATTAGTCGTCCATGATTTCATGTTGCTTTTTGTTAGTTAGCCAAGTATACTTGGATAAATAATTCTGGGGTTGGATATAAGTTTGAATTTGGTTGATATGATTTTAATGGTTTTAAAACTGCCTGGACTTTTAGACTATAGGAATCAAAAGCTAACTTCTTCTTTTTATGACTAATTCATTACGTCTTTTTACTTTGTCACGTGAATTTGTTCTTTTTATGATTTGTCTCATTTTTATTTAAAATCCTAAAACTCATGGCTCTCATTTAATTAACTTTAATCCTTAGAATTTGGGCGTGCCGTTTAGCGAATTCCACGGCCTCCCACAAAGTTGAAAAGACGTTAGTCGCTTTAGGCGCGCTTTTAATAATTCTACCTTCCTAAATACGGGTGCACATTTATGTGACCCAACTCCAAATCCCAACGAAGCCGAAATGTATCAAAAATCGCGGGTGCATTTATGTGACGTGGTTAGAGACGCGTTTTCACGACGTTGCAATTCTCTTAAAAAACAATAATAAAAGCGGTTTAAAGTTAAAAAGCACATAAGTTAAAACATGTATAAAAATCAGATTTTTAGCCAAATATAATAATTTAAGCGACCGTGCTAGAACCACGGGATCCGGGGGTGCCTAACAACTTCCCTCGGGTCAACAGAATTCCTTATTCAGAATTTCTGGTTCGCAGACTCCAATTGGGAAGTCGAAATTTTTCCTCAATTTGGGATTTAAAATTAAACCGGTGACTTGGGACACCAAAAGCCAATCTTATCCCAAGTGGCGACTCTGAAATAAATAAATAATCCCATTTCGAATAATGTCACTTTAAATGGAAAAACTCCCTTATACATTATCCTTCGGGGTAGGTGTGTAAAAAAGGAGGTGTGACAGTGGAAATAATTAGTATATTCGAAAACAATGGAGGAGCCATTCATTGGTAAGGGCAGTCAATTGACCCCACATAAATAGTTAAATATTTTATTTTTATATATATACTCTATTTGTTGACTTTCCTTAATTTTTTCATAAGATTAGTTATTTATATTTTGATTCCCCTTAAGGAAAATTCTGGCTCCGCTACTGTTTGAACGATATTCTGCACTTTTAAGAAACTGTATATATAATATCCAGCACAAGTAGATAATTTATTCATTAATTACACGAAGATAAATTAAAGCATATATATACAATCGATGTTTATACTCCACTTTTCCAAATCTAAAGCAGAAATGGATTGCGTAAGATGCAGAAGCACCAAAAAAAAAAAAAAAAAAAGGCAACACCCCTCAGATACAATGGAAACCAGAAACTGCACGCCAATTGATGAAAAGAATTCAAAATATTTTAATTTACCGAATAAAAAAAAACAAAAAATGGTAGCAGCAAAAAAAGAAAGTGTCTCAATATTCCGTCGCTCTAATATGCATCCAAAGCAATTCAAGGTGAATAGCGGTCATGGAGAGCTTGAAGCTTGGCTGCAAGAATTAAACAATTAAGAAATTAATAAAAACATTAATTTAATTAAACTATGAATATCTTTAAATAGGTGAAAGATAAAAGACATTTAACTTATATATATTCACAATGCAAAAACTTTTAACGTTAGTTTAACATGCAAGTTCACTTGTCTTATTTTTTCTGGTTATTGATCCACTTATCATGAACAAAAACATATTATCTTTCATGTAACCTTATAGTGTAAGAAATCTTTTCTTCGTCCTAGTGTATAGAAGTTAAACTAAAAAAAAAATGCTAGTACTAATTAGAAAAACAACTTACTCAATGATGTCTGTCCAGTAAGAGTCGCTAGCTTCTTCATCACCCATAATTTGTTCCCAGGCTTCAAAGGTGGACGTTGATGCAGATGAAGGCTGCATTATCAGTTCTTGTTTCGGGTAAATATCGCTCGTATTCTCGTTAGGTATTTTACAGATATTTTTCGTTTGATTTTCACTTCCAGTAACACTTGATGACGTGCTACATGTGCCACTCAGAATCAGTTGATCACCTCCTAATTTAGTGTCATTAATTTCCTGATAATCTAATTTACCAGAAAAATTATTTGCATGTGTGAATTCTGCATGTACATTTGAGGAATTGAGACCAAAATCAATTAATGAGTCACTACTGCTGCTGGATAGAAATTCCTGGTTATTCATTAAGGTAGAGTTGTACTCTTGAATCTGATTCTGTGACCCTAAAATTTGGTTCAAAGCTTCTATATTTAATGGAGAAGTTGTTGTAGTGGCATTTCTAATTAGAGAATTAACTAATAAGCTAGAGTTGTTTAACAATTGGATTTGGTGAACCAATTGAGCCGTATCTGAAAACAAGAAGTTGGTGAGAATATTCATATCAATATTATTAATATTGATATAATTGGAAGTAATAGCAGCAAGAAGTTGAGGAGGCAAATTTCCAATTAAGGCATTAAAAAGGTTGATATGATCAGTTCTTGGCCTATGAGTTACAGGGTCAATTCCTATTTGCAGAAGTTTCTTTCTTAAATGAGTATTCCAGTAATTCTTGATCTCGTTATCAGTTCGTCCTGGTAGACGTGTTGCAATTGCTGACCATCTGCAACAAAATAATTAGGGGTGTCAATAATACAGTTAATTCCATCAGTTTATACCCTTCCGTTTCATCTTCTTTGACATAGTTTGACTTGACCCGAAGTTTAAAAATAAAAATTACTATACCTTCTTAATAGTAGTGGCGTTAAACACATTATACTTAAAATTTGTGTGGTTCTAAGATTTTTGTAATTTGGGCCATAAACATACCATAATATTTTTGTGGTTATAAAGCTTCTCATTAATGCTAGCATTTGGATGTAGATTTGGTTGAAACTTGAAATGAAAGACCTTTTGAAGATGAGATGAAAAATAATTTTTGGAAGTTACAATTGTGTTTGAACATGTATTTTACTTGAAAAGTAGAAGTCTTGTGAATAAAACACTTCAAAAACTTGAAAAACTAGTTTAAATCACTTTTTGAGAGACTTGAAAAATTCATCATAAAAAACAGCCCAAAAACTAGTGACATTTTATATAACCAAACAATATTTTTAATTTTTTTTTTGAAAAAAGTGAAAAAACTTATGGTTAATTAACAATAGCTAAGAAAACATAAAAATGTGTAATTTTTTTTAGAACGGACTAATAAGATTCCGTAGCATATAGTAGGTATAACGTACTTGTTACCAAGGAGAGAATGGAGTTTGACGATAAGTTTTTCTTCATCTTCAGAGAATTTGCCTCTCTTGATATCAGGCCTGAGATAATTAGTCCACCTAAGGCGGCAACTTTTTCCACAGCGATTAAGTCCAGCAAGTTTAGGAAGAGCTCTCCAATTTCCATGGCCATTTTTGTGTATGTAATCAACTAGCTTTTGATCTTCTTCAGGAGTCCAAGGACCTTTTTTTAGCCCACTCATATCATCAAATTCTGCTGATCTTCCCATCTTTCTTATACACTTTGCACTATATATGTGAGCTTTATATATCAGTCTACTACGTACTCGATTTAATTTTCTTGTTTCTAAGAAGGAGCTGTTAATACTAATGTTTTATAAAGGAAATTATTTTGTATATGATGTTGATGTTTCGTGCTCCTTTTGCCTTTCTATCTTTGGAGTCTTGGGCTTTGGGTGAGAGGTTGGTTGATGACTAGGACACTTTGCTCCTTCCTTTGGTTTGTTACTTTGTCCTCATTAATTAATTATGGTAATTATGATGATTTACTTTACGATTGCCTTAAGATTTCGTTGGATATACAATTTTTATTGTTAACGGTGATGTACAGGTCAATTTACGCGCACCTCAACTATTTTATCAGATACCTATTATCTCCCACGTGCATATGTATATCGAGTAACTCTACTCGCTCTAAAAATTAGATGGGAATTAAGAACTGCTTTGGATACTAGTCATTACCAAAGAACGTTTGAATTAAGCGGTATCATCTAACACTATTTTGCTAAATAATTAATTAATATATATGTGTGTGGTGTTTGTGTGCATGCGTGCATGTGTGGAAATATAATAATATTTTGTGTAATGCTAGCATGAGATAAATGTAAGTGAGTAAATATGATTACTGAAGATTCATATAATTGACCACAACTTGCTTGAGATTAAGGCGTAATTATTATTATAACAATACAGACAAAAAACCAGTCGACATCAATACAAAGTAAATTTAAACATCAATTTAGGATAAAAATTAAGTAAAGGCTTATAGTAAAACCCAACAGTCACAGACTCAAAATCGTGTGTACAAGCCGAATAATGATAATATATATGTCGACATGTACCTTACACAAAATTATTTTACATATGCTGCTGACCTTAAGGCAAATTAGATGTTCAAATTCTTTCATATTTTTGAAATAGGTTAAAAGATGGACGTCTTGTTAATTTAGTTAACCTATCTTCATGGTTATTTTTATTCATTTATTTCACAGTTCTTGATCACAAAAGATGCCGATAAATAATAATTAAACAGCATGTTAAGGGGAAAAACACTAACCTTAGGTTTAACTAACTCGAGTTCAATGGTAATTTCTTTGTGTTATATAGTTCAAAGTTGGTATGGATTGACTTCAATTTTTCTTTATCCACTAGGCTAGCGGGACAAGTCATGAAATACTTTTGTATCTACGCAACGCAGGTATTTGTGTAGGCTTTACGCCATATATTACACTCTCTATGTAGAACATTAGGAGACAAAAGACAGATGTCAAGAAAAAGTCTTCTCAAACACTGTATATTATAACTTGTTTAAGTTAAACACTTAAATTTCTTTGAAATTAGTGGAATTACCATGTTTGCATCAAATTGTAAAATTATGACCTAGAAGATTAAAAATGTTACAATGTGATTATTTTTTTTTTTTATATATTTAACTCAAAACATCTGTCTATATCAATATTTGCTTAGAGACTCGAATTTAAAATGTTAGCAGTTTAAACTTGTAGATGATATCGGACAGTTTAACACATTGTCTTGTGGGGCAATTTCATTTTAATTTACCATGGATTAATATAGAATTTGCATAACTGTATCTTTTTCTTTGTGTGCTACATCAAAAGTTCAGGAGCTCACGAAACCCCTATTGTCTTTTGGGACGAACTACCGAACCAATTTATTTCTAACTTCTAACGACTTATTATAAAATCATTCTTGTAATTACAAGTCAATTTGGATGCTTCTATAACGTGATAATTATGTTGCTCTATCTTCTGTTTTAGGATTACTATATTGAAAGGAATTAAGGGGAATTGATATGCTATTACTTTTTATTTTTTATTTCACAGAACTGCTAGCAGCTAGCATTCACTTGATGGATACTGGTTTTACCAAAATCATAAACATAGCAAAATTATAAAATAGTGAATAAATTAGAGAAAGTATTTAAATAGATCAAACACATTATGAATAAAATGTTTCATTTCAGAGTAATTATCGCCCTACTTACATACATATGTATGTAGGGCTGAATAGTTCATCTACTACAAGGCCCATTAGTCAGCTTAGTCAGTAACTTTGATTTTTTATTATTTGGGCCCAATTTTATATAGGACCCAGCCCAATCCGATTTGTTACTAAATCATTGTTTGACTATATACTTCAGATGATGCTTCTACAATGAGATAGAAAAACATAATATCTTTCTTTCTTCTCTCTTTTCTCTCTCTCGATTAGGGTTTCTTTTCACTCTAAAATTTCTTCGATTGACTCCAATAATGGAGTCTAACATGGTATCAGAGCGCTCCAATCGATTCGCCTCACTCAGAGCTTTCGTCCGATGGTAACCATCAAGTTTGGTTTGCTGATTTCGTCCAGATCGAAGAGTCTCCTGTCAGAACCTTCTGGAATTTTTTCTAAGCTTTCATCTGTTCCTGTTATTAGAAGACCTTAGCTTCTTCAGGTGTGCGAAGAAGGAGGGTAAAAACTCTATTCTCTCATTTGCATGTGAAAACCTAGGTGAAACTAGGGCTTTTTTGTTCTACTTGTGAAATTTGGACTGCTTCTGTGATCTTCTACGAATTGTTAGTCTAGAAGTTTGCTTTTGTGTATGAATATGGGAGGTACTTCATCTACTGCTGATGGTTTTGTCGAGTTCACTGTGGACTCGTCTCACCCGTTCTATGTTCATCCCTCCGATAGCCCTGGAAGCCAATTAGTTGTCATACCGTTCAATGAACCGGTTTTGTACATTAGCGTAGTAGTATGCTTACCTCCTTATCTGCCAAGAACAAATTAGGAATATTTACTGGTAAAGTAGCTCAACCTCAACCTAATTCTCCCTATTATCCCCTCTGGGAACCATGCAACGATATGGTGAAGGCTTGGATCATCAATTCTTTGACTAGGGAGATAACAGTAAGTGTCATGTGTCTCAACACTGCTAGAGAAGTGTGGAGTGACATAAATAAGAGGGTTGGACAGTCCAATAGATCCAAATACATTCAAATCCAAAGGGAAATTAGTTCTACCTCCCAATGGTCTTCTGATATTACTACTTATTTTAACAGAACGAGGGCTTTATGGGATGAATTGAATTCTGCTTATGTTGGTCCTACATGCTCTTGTGGAGCATTACCCAAATTTATTGAAGATCAACACCTTTTTCAATTCCTGAGTGGCCTAAATGAGTCCTATTCCACTGTTAAGAGTAGCATCATGCTTATGTCTCCACTTCCTTCAATTAGCAAAGCATATTCCTTGCTTCAACATGATGAAAGCCAAAAGGAAAACCAGCCTCCAAATTTGGGTTTCTCTGGTGATACAACTTCTTTTTCTACTACTTCATCCAACTCCAATCCTTTTGGAAATCACCAACATAGTGCAAAGCTTTTCAATCAAAGAATCAACTTTGATCAAACTAGGAAGTCTTCTTCTGTGTCTTGCAAATAATTCAAGAAACCTGGGCACACAGTAGACAAATGTTATAGGCTTCATGGTTTTTCCACTGACTTCAATTTTACCACGAGCAAAAGGTCTGCTTCTTGTGCACAAGTGGAAGATAATGCTGCTCAAGTGGTACCTCCAAATGAAACCACAACTTATGGCTTCAGCAAAGAGCAGTATCAGCACCTCATGTCCTTGTTTCAGCAGGCTCACATATCTACTGGGAATCATCCTTCCACTTCTGGTGACAATATTGCCTATGCCAACTTTGCATGTGTGTGTCACCTACCTGTAGAACAGTTGCCTGTAGTTAATTCTGCAATTCAATATTTGTGTGCTCAGTTATGAAAGATACCTTGGATATAGGATTCAGGTGCAACAAATCATATAACCTCTAATAAACAATTCCTACACAATTTACAACCTTTACCTAAACCTTACTTAATAACTCTACCAAATGGATATAAAGTAAAGTAATCTCCACTAGGTCAATACAACTTAGAACAGACATTATCTTGCACAATGTACCGTTGGTTCCTTCTTTCCATTTCAATCTTATTTCTGTATATCAACTCCTTTCTCAATTACAATGCTTAACATTATTCAGTAGTTACTCTTTTTTTCTACAGGGCCCTGATGTCGCCCAAACTCACACTACAAATATAGGTTGTGAGGCGGTCGAAACGATAATAAAAATCCAACGCAAGTCGGGGTCAAATCCACAGGGAGTTAGATTTTGGATTAGGTATACACCTAGTGTGAATGTATGATATGCCTCAAATTACACTTCCACATTTTCAATTGTTGTTTCTACTTCTACTTTTAAACTATTGATTGTAATTGTAGAGCTAAGAGATAATATTTTTGATTTTGGTTGTTTTTCAAGTTATGAAAGATCTAGGGTTATAACTTCCACCTAGATGAATACCTACCAGGTTGAGAGCTTTAGGGCATGTTTGGTTGATCGGGATACAATATAGCAATAACACTTAATTACTCACTCTATACCTCTCGGTAGTTTGAGTGATTTTGCCCAATTTGACTTTCTCAAGTCCAAATGGGTATTTCACAAAATAAGTGATACATGCTCAAGTCGGGTCTTACTATCTCTAGATTTGACCCTTTAATTGGGGCTATCAATTTCTTGAGTTCACCCCAATTTCTTGTTAGCCAAGTTTTCCTAGACTTAGTCTCTCTTTCTCAAGTAAAGACTAAATCAATTAGGCATGAATCAATGTTTGCAACCATCAATTCTCAAATTCAAGCAAGAACTAGGCTAAATATCATATACCCAGTCATAAATAAGCCCTAAATCAAATACCCATTAAGTACCCATACTAGGGTTAGGTCACAACCCTAGCTATGGGTTTAGCTACTCATGAAAAATGCAGAAATTAAAGAAGAAACTAAGATAGAATTCATAATACTTGATTAAAGGAAGAAAATCTAATGTTTAAAAGCTAATCTAGTACAATGTTACCAAATACAGTAAATAAAAACGGCCCAGGTGCTCCTCAAAAACAAAGCTTAACCTAAAATGACAAAAAGTTCTATTTACACTAAGCTGAAAATAACTGACAAAATTGCCCCTGCGGAGGTTGTGCGGCCGCACAATTATTTGA